AAATGGAAAGACACGTTACAGCAGGTCAGATCTCTGCCTGTCATTCCATTGAAGTGGCATATTTCTGCCACTTGTCTGGTATGAAAAGCACAGTAAAAATCTCTAGACTTTCTTTGTGGCAATACTGCCTGTCAGCATCAGTGTGTTATGGGAAGATCTAATAGACTCATAAAATATTGTGGTTTTGAGCTGTGCATGAGGTAGTCTGTACATTTGTGATCTAGTTTTTTTCTTTCTTTTCTCCTTTGTAAATAAAGGATGATAAATAACTTTGATTAAACGGACTAAAGTGACCAGATGGCAGTGGATTCAAATGAAGTGAAGATGAGCTCCTAACAGGTATTAATTGGGCATGGTAGTTTTCCTTTCTCTGCTGCCAAAGTCGTGATAGCTCCCTCCCTCAGTAAAGGGCAGGCATATCCTCTTAGCTTGTATTTTTCAATGACTCTTTAAAATCAAAGCCCACAGAGGCAGGAAGGTGGATTGGAAAGTGACTGAACTGCTGGGCTTAGAGGGTTGTGATCAGCAAGACAGAGGCCAGCTGGAGGCTGTTCAGTATTTGGAGTACCCTAAGGGTGCTGGGGCTAATACTGTTTAACCTCTCTATAAGTGAACTGAAGGTTGTGGGATGGAGTGCAGTCTCAGCAAGTTGGCAGATGATACCAAATTAGGAGTTTGGTACACCAGGTAGTTGTGCTGCAGTACTTGGACAGGATGATGAAGTGGACAGAGAAGAACCTCATGAAATTCAAAAAAAGGAAGTGCAAAAACCCTGCACCTGGGAAGAATAACCCCATGCACCAGTACAGAGGCTTTCTGGCTGGAAAGCAGTTCTGCAGAGAAGAATCTTGGGGTCCTGGCAGTCAGGTTGACCACAAGCCAGCACTGCAGTGTCACAGCAAAGAAAACCAAGAACATCCTGGGCTGCACTGTATTAGCGTGGTCAGCAGGTCAACAAAGGTGACCCTTCCCCTTTACTCTGCAGTGGTGAGGCCACATCTGATGTGCCATGTACAGTTCTGGGCTCACCAGTGCAGCAAAGACATGGGCATCCAGAAATAAGTCCAGGGAAAGGGTTGTATGGCCATTAAGGGACTGGAACATGACCTACAAAGAAAGGCTGAGAGAACTTGGGCTGCATTGCTGCATGGCCTGGAGAGGAGAAAGCTCAAAGCAATATTGTCTGCAAATATCTGATAGGAAGGAATGAAGACGTTCAAGTCCAGCTCTTCTCAGAGAGTCTCTCGGAGTTTCAGGGTCTCATCAATGCCCAGTGAGGGTGGTCAGACACTGAAACAGGCTGCCCAAAGAGCTTGTGGAATCTCTCTTGGGGATATTCAAACCTGACTGGACATGGTCCTGAGCAGCCTGCTCTTGCTGCCCCTGCCTTGAGCTCATGGGTTGGAACAGACAATTCCTAGAGACCTCTGCCAACCTCACCTGTTCTGTTATTTTCTCTGTCTGTAAATGAAAAGTTTTATGAATCAGAGACAGACCATTGATATTTTTAAAAGCCAAACTAGGACTGCTCATTCCCACCTACCAGACTTGCATGTTCTTGCATTGCTTGATTTCTTTTGAGTCCACAGGGTCTTGTAATTCGTTAGCTCATCCTTACCTTGCCTGTGGTCTGCTACTATTGCTCACCTACACACTTTGTTCTTACCATCTTAGTTCATCATCGAGTCCTTGGAGAAGTATTCATTTCTTTGATTTTCCTTGCCTTGACTTTCATATAAGAGTTCACCAGTCTCCTTGTAGTGTTTCCTTCATCCTTAACCCCAGTATTTAATTTTCATGGCCTAAAAACCCAGATCCATGTTCTAGACCAGGAACTACCTGTGCTTGTAATTTGACTAGGAAATAAGTCAAAAGATAATGCAGCAATTGTGACGTTAATATGAAAGTTATTCTGCTTCTTCTTTATTGTCCTTCCTCTTAGGTGTTGTGGTCTTTGAACTATGTCATGAGAGAATCGTCATTATTGCTTTAGAAATAGCACAATGGTTCATACCAATTTAATATTAGCCAGATAATACCTAAAGTGCTATCTTCCAAAACTAAGAAAAATGCAAAAACTAAGGCAAAAATTCATATTTGCCTTTTTATTATAATAGTGACTGATGCAGTGGAAACCAAATTGTCTTTAGGTTTGCATTGAAAAAAATAACTTCCCCAGACAAATCAAAAAAGTAAAATTGGCAATGCTGACTTAATTTCTCAATCTGGCATATAGGTCTGCACTTCGAGTAAGCCTGGTGTTGGCCAGCTAATTTTACTTTTATTTTGAAAGCACATACATTTTAATTATGTTCCTTCTAGATATTCTCTTAATTAATTGAAAATAGCCAAAGAGTTAATTAAAAATACAAACTTTATTTGGTTCTATATCAAACCTGACATTATGATCTTTTTATCTACAAAGCAAGAATTATGTGGCATCAGAAATCTGAATTATTCATGATGGTTTCCAGCCATTTTTTTTCCTTCCTCCTTTGTTCAGTGTAAAACCTTATAAGCTTTTCTTTCAGCCAAGGTGAAAGCAATATTAAGTCTCAGAAGTCAAACTTAGGAAAGACATGTAGCTCTCTGAAATCCTTGCCCTGTAATCCTGGCTTTCTATTCACCACCACTATTCAATATCCCACTTTCTGTATAAGCTTCACAATATATCAGCAGTTGATGAGATTTATTTGTTATACTCCTGTTTTCCTTCTTCATAAAGAAGCTTTATCCATCCCTTCACTCCCCTAGGAGTAACACGTCTGTGATTGTTTCTGCTGGGCTCGCTAATCCAGCAGCTCCCTTCAGCATGCTGGGCAGTTGGTAGAGGGTGGAAAGTGAGGGAGGAGTAGAGTTGTACTTGTTAAGATTTAGGACTGCAATGTCATGTGTAGTGAATTTTAAAAACATTGTTAAGATCCAGTTCAATGGTTATGAGCTAACACAGTTGGTTGTGTGAGTAGAAACGCTGGCAGGTCACTCCTGAAAGATGCTCTGTGAATTAAAGCTTGAATGTTGAACCTCTCTAAGGGACTAAACTGAATTATTTCTGGTCATTTTGAAGACATGACAACAGATGAGACAGAAGTTGAGTCCAATCTATGCTAATGAGCCCTACATTTCCTATTTGCATTATTGCTCCTGGTGCCTGTAGGAGCTCCATGTATGTTTTTCTTACAGCCTCTGACTTCATCTGTGGTGATATTTTCCTCTTAAATAAACACATTTCTGTGTAGGAATGTAAAAGCTTTCTTATTTGTTATTAAGGTTAAAACCACATAGAGTATTGTTGTTCTTAAATAAGTTCTTTGTCTCTAACCTGCCTTTAAGGTGAAATTAAAACACAGAGAATTCAGTATGCAAATAGCATGCACACCAGATGATCTGAAGAAAACCTGTGCATTTCCATCGAAAACAAATGTGAGTGTAGGAAAGCAGATGCTTTCTACCAGCAAAGTATACATACAGTTCTCCAGAGGACCTGAACAGCAATTTATTTTCAGACTACTGGAAGTATGCAAATTCCTACAGAATTAAATGTGAATTTAAAAGAAATGGCGCCTATTAAGGACAATGCTACCCAAAGAGGCAATTGGGAACTTAATAATTTAATCAAGATCTTGAACAGGCTCAGCCATATATCTAAAGTCAGTGACTCAAATGTCATCTGTTTTTAGCAAGTGGTCATGTTGAAAAGACGTCTTTTAAAGTATGGCATTTGGAGTGTTTTTCTGTGACCATGGACAAATATGTTTGTGTGGTGTGCATAGATTTTCAGATGATTCTCCATCAAAGAGCATCATCTGTTCACTTGAGCTGCTCATAGGTTGTGGTCAGTGATACACTTGTGTGTATCCCCAGCATTATGTTGACTGTTTTTGAACCAGCAGTTCTGGGTAAGATGGGTTATGTCCTGACACACATGGAAGCACCACAGTTATAGTTCTTACTGCTGGATGTTGTTGCACCTGATGGCTGCAGGACTGGACGGATGTTACTGAGATTACCATCTGAAGGCAAGGGCTGGGTCCTAAGTGTGGTGGCATAGCCTTGCACAAAGGGATTGCTGGTGAGGCAGCAGCCAGCTGCATAGACATGGGAGATATGTTTGTTTTTGTTCTTTATGCAAAAGCACAGTATTCCTAAAGTGGGGATGAGCACACAGGAGGGCAGAGTTCAGGCTTGCCAGACAGTGTTGCCTCCACTCTTCCCCGTGACCCTCACAGAATCCACCTGCTCCGTTCATCCCACTGCCTTTTTGTCTCTTAGCAATTCCATTAAATGACTGTTTGTACAGAGAGATGACCAAGTTGGGTCAGAGAGGGCAGGAGATGTTGTTTAGTGGGTTGTGCAACATAGCATTTAGTAGAAATTTTGACAAAACATATAAGGTCAGATGTGTCCATTTAGATGCACTGGAAGTGACAAGTTCTCAGGCCTTTTGAAAGCTGTGAAAAGGCAATGAAGGTCACTGCTTATAACTTTGGAAATTTGACTTTAAGCATTCATGTATGACAAGGCTTGGCCAGGGTGGTCATGGCAGGAAACTCCCTCTACAACCTGGAGCCCACCCAGCCCTGCTGTGCTGGTAGTTCAGTAAACAGCGAGTGGCTGGGCTGTGTCCTCTGCCTCTCACACATTCCACAAACAAGGGGCAAAGTAAGCAGGAGTTTAGTGAGGGGGTGGGTATAGTATTACCTCATTTCAGAGCAGAAATACTTGGACTGATAACTAAAAATGACCTGGCCAGCAGGGAAGATACTATGATCACAAGAGTGAGTGTGCCGGGTAAGGTCATCTTTGCAAGCAGAGTCTCCTCAGCCTTGTGAGTTATTCCTTGTTTTACTCTGCCCGTGTGTTTTAAAAACAGAACCTGCTACATCATGTCCGTGGATTGAGCATAAAGATTACCAGTGTGTTCATTCTCTGGCTGTTTTCCACTGGTTGAGAGTCATTTTCTTACAGCTGAATAACGTGTACTTTTTTTCTTCACACAGGTTGTAGTCCTCGGCAAACATTCTAGAGGCTATCACTACATGTTAGCTAACCTGGTAAGAACTTTTCTTCATGACAAGTATTAGAGAGTAATATATTCTGTTCAGGTTGTGGCAACTTTAATCAGGAAGTGGAAATGCATGGATGAGGATTTTGAGAAAATACTTCAGTAAATACTGGAACCGGTATTTCATTTTTACTCAGTTATGGTCTTTCTTTTGTCTGAGAATCTCATATCCTCTACCAGTTCTAAAATAATAATTTAATTGTATGCTTTGCACTAATTTCTGTCCTCATAAATTAGATGCTTGTGACTGTAGTCTTCTGTGTAACATACTTTATATTTAAGCACTCCAGGGAAAATAATTGTAGCATATTTGTGTATAAGTGGTAAAAAGCTGCAAATTAGAACAATTCCATCAACTAAACCAGCAAGGCTGTTTAGTTTTTCTTTTGTATTTCAGTTGTGCCTTTGTATGTGCTGACCTACCAGGAAGAGGCAGTACAGTTTTATCTGTATCAGAGCTTCTTCTAGATTGTAGGATTGACTTTCAGGGACTTCTGTGATGCCTTTGAAACACCACCTGCTTAAGTTCCTTATAAACATCTCGTATTGTAATTGATCCTGCAGGAGGACTCAGTTTTGGGTTCTGTGTCTACTGTGAGTGGAAAAATGTTTTTCCAAAACTCACACTTTCTAGTTAGCAACCCTACTTACTCAAAGATTTTCTGTATCCATGTTTTGGTGTGATTAAAGCAGAAAAGACAAATTTTAAATTACCCTTATTTAGTATAAGTGCTGTCTGACTTTAAGATGTGTTATTTTGCGTTATAAGAGCCAGTCATGACCTCACTGATTAGTGTGTGCAAAGAAGTACAGAGGTTCTTATTCTGGGTTGCCTTTTAGCATGTGTAACCATTGACATTCAGATAAACATGACTGCAATCAAGTCATACTAATCAGAAAGACTCCAATTTACTGCCTCAGGTATAAATAACAACAGAGTGGGAGAGAATCATCCCGTTCTGTTTGCAAGTGAAATGCTACGTGATGCTGTGATGGAGAATTGCCTGGCAAGAGGTGTGTGCTTTACCTGCACAGAACAATTGAGTGTCAAGTGGTTTTCTGCTCCCAGCCCTGAACCTTCACTTGCACTTTGCTGTAAAAATGGGATTTGAGGTTTTTGACCAGTTTTATTATGCTGAGGATGACAGAGGAAATAATAACTTTGAGTTTCCCCCCAGTTTTCTTTCTGACTGGCAAACATTACGTACCACATTGCCACAATCCAACAGGGCAGTTTTCTACTGAAAGAACAAGAAGATGTTTTAAATGCTATTCTGTGTCTCCTTGCTAGAGTATTTTCAGCTAACAAGAGGGACATTAATCCATTTCTTTTGTGCCACACTTGTAGCAGGTAAAACTGAGCCAAAGAAAAGGGACTTTGGATGACAGTGATTCTTGTTTCCTACGTGTCCTCCCAGGGTTTCACAGACATTGTTCTGGAGAGAGTAATGCATGGAGGTGCCAACATTACTGGATTCCAGATTGTTAATAATGAAAACCCAATGGTTCAACAGTTTCTACAGCGCTGGGTGAGGCTTGATGAAAGGGAATTCCCTGAAGCTAAAAACTCACCATTAAAGGTATTTATTTTAACCTGACAGTGATGGTGATGATATGCTTTTAACAATTATTTGTGACATTTTAACCTCAGATATTTGCATATGTGTGATAAGATCCCTGATTAGAGTATATTGCAAGATTCACTGCCCTTCCAGAAGAAAGAAGCAGAGGCTGGTAGCCAAAGTGCCCACCATGCTGGGAGTGCCTAAGAGGCAAAGGCTTGGTCTTGCAGATCCTGTCATTGTGCAGTGGATACAACAACTTTTGACTTGAGCTTCTTGAGTTAGTCTTGGGGTGAGTGTGGGGGCTAGGTAGGTTAAGTTTAGATGCAAAGACATGACTCCATTTATCAAAGTAATTTTGAATTCCAAATTTGTTCATCAATTCGCATGTGTCCCTCCCAAATTGACAGGAAAGACATGAGCTGTCTAACCATGGCTGAGGGAGGAAAATTATCTTAATCCCACACCATCCCACAGCTTTGGTAGGCATTTCAGAGGAAGCAGAGAAAGGCAAACAGAGGCCCACAAAACCCAGATTAGTGTATTGTTGCTTGTGGATTAGGACCGAGTCCTGTTTTCTAAAGCTTCCTAGCAGTGATGCAGAAGTGAAGATAAGTATCATACTAATCTTAAAAGCTCTGAAATATAGAAAGTTAACCTGAGAAAATCTTATTTCACTTGAAAGCAATTTACCTTGAAGGAATAATTATTCTCCCTCCTTAAAAAGGATTCTTAAGTATATAGTACAAACACAAAGATTACATTACCTTCCCACAAATGTATCACTCATTATAGAAATGTGCACATTATTTGTCAATCAGACAAAAAGCATACTTAAAAATTGATGTACAGTATTTTTGATTAGGAAATAAAATTGCCTAGAGATTAAAGCCCTGATGTTTAATTTATTCTGTATTTTATCAGCCTTTCCCTTCTTTCTCTCCTTTTTTCTCTTTGCATGCTCATGCATTTATAAGTAGAATTCAAATAAAGTAGAAAATTAGATAGCTCTTTTGGCATGACTTGGAAGGGACTGCATTAAGGTTACTGACAATTGACGCAGTCTGCTGAAAAAATTATCAGTGTGTAAGTTTTATGTAGTGCTAGATTGGACAGCTATTACAAGATTTTTTTTTTTTAATACAAGAAAAAATGTCTTAAAAATACTGTCTGGTTCTGTATCGTTGCGTGGATTGTGACGTATAACCTGTGTTAACTTTCTAAAAGAGGAGAGAGTGATCACTGCAAAGCATCCTTTACAGTCAGGGCAGGAACCACCACAGACACCCTGTAAGAGTTTGTGCACTGCTGTTGTTTAAAGCTCAGTAACAATGTCTGCTGTATAAGATTTTTCACACCTTTGCACTCTTTTTATATCAGATACGATTCTCTTGATCTGCACATGCAGACACACCTCACTCTGTGCAGGATTCATAAGGGCTTATATCAAACTGAAAGTTAACACACGGTTGTAAGAAATGCAGACCTTCAGTTGTGCTATCCTGCCCTACAGGATAGAATTGACTTCTGAGTATAATAAATCTTATCCACAAAGAGAGAATCAGAACAAGGAGTTGAAAGTTGGATTTCTGCCTTTGTAACTCGTGCATGGGCAGCACGTCTTCTGACCCTCCTTGGCTGGCAGGGTCTCTGTGGTACCACAGGCTGCCAAAAGAAGGGCAGGAGCACCAGTACACACAGACCCCTCTTACATCCTGCTTTTCTCCTCTTCATCCTCTTAAAAACACCGGGGAAATAAGAAGGATCAGTTACAAGAGGGTTGAAATCTGGTCTTACACACTGAGCACGTTTTAATTGCTCTCAGTAGGTTATGTGCTGACAGGGTCTCCTCTGCACAGACCCTGAAGTTAGAGGTGTAATGCCAGTGAAACCCAGAAATGTCACATGCAAAGTCCAGGAGGGACAAACTTTCAGACAAACACATAAATGTGGGAGAAATGTGGAAAAAAACCCAAAAACCAAAAACCACTTCTGTAACGTTTCCTGGGTGATACTAAATTTATAGCACCAGGGGGTGTCACCAGATACATGTGACAAGCAGTGGACGAAGTTGACAGCAACATGAACAAGTAAGTTAAGTTGTCTGGGGGTTTTGTTCAAGAGCTGCTGCTGCACAGAGTTTACCACCCTCTGCAGATTTGCCATGGAGTAAGGGAAGGCAGGTGGGAAAATTACTGAAGAGATGTAATGCCTGAAGTGTATTTTGTGATTACTTGCCTGTATAGCTGTTTTCTAAGAAAACTAATCTGATCTATTTCTTGCCACAGATGCTACCTAATCAGAATTGTGATCCAAGCAGAAATGACTTATGTTAACTTCAGTTCAGAGCTGTCTTGGCAATCTTGTTAAAAACAAAAAAATGCTCCAAGAAAAAGCCCACATATGAGCTTTTCTTTGGTGGCAGTATGGTCCAGCTTGGAACTGCAGACTTTTGTACCAACCTCATTTAGATGAGCGAGTTTCCAATGAAATTGAAATTTTGTGCAGCTGTAAACTGGTTTTGTTACTTTGCTGCTATATGTGCTATACAAAATACTTTTAATTTGTTAATTGAATTAAGTTGAATTGTTAAACTAAAAAAGCACCAGCTGGAAGACAGAGAGCAAGCAAATGGGTTTGCAAGCATGATTCTTGTAAGAGTGTTCTAACAAAGAGGAGGAGTTCACCTGACACACCTGGGGCAATTTTAAGATGGCAGTTTGTCACCATCCTCTCTCTGCACCGATTGCAGTACACATCTGCACTGACCCACGATGCAGTCCTGGTCATAGCTGAGGCTTTCCGCTACCTCCGAAGACAGCGTGTGGATGCCTCCAGGAGAGGCAGTGCTGGAGACTGCCTGGCTAACCCTGCAGTGCCCTGGAGCCAAGGAATTGATATCGAAAGAGCGCTGAAAATGGTAAGGGCAATTCTCCTGGTTAATGAATGTGTGTGTTCCACAGCAGCAGCAACGGGACCGTGCTTGTGTCCTGCTCCATCTACACAGGGCTCCTGCCCTCACACAAACAGCTGCAGCTCCTCAGGGGGAGGATTTTCCACTCTTCTTATGCTGCTATTTGTGTTAAAGCAAGTGACAACAAAGAAAATTGAATAATTTTTATTTTTTTTTTAGATACAAGAGACAAGAACTCTGGTTTTGATCTGGCTCAAATAACTCTCAAATAAACCTGTTAGAATCGATTATATTAATGGAGACATAGAGCTGGAGTGAGTGAGATCAGAATTAAGCCCATGTTAGGTGTAAACAAATCCTAGGTCAACCTTCATACACTTGGCTTAATTACTGCTTTTTCTCAGTTACCAGATTGTAAGGATTATATCAGGAGGTTATAAGGAATTGTGGACAGTTGTAATCAGATTATATTGCTCTTAGGAATGAGAGAGATGGTTCAATCTCACATAAAAAGAGCCAGAGCTCTTTTTTATACCATGTTGTCACTTCCTAACTGCACATTCACTAAAGTAGTGTTACATACTTTTGGAGAAAAATGGCTAAATTCAACATTCAAAATAGTTAAAGATTTTGTACTGTCCACCGTGATTGGCAAAAAATGAAGTTTTACTTTTAGCTGGTTGCCTTGTATTGTTTTAGCTTTTCAAAGTCACGCAAGTGATTTTTATAAACACCTCCAACAAGAACTACCCAAGATCATCCCACACTGCCTTCCGGTCCCCATCCTGTTCCATCATCCTCTCTCCTTCTGTTCAGACAGTGATCTCGAATCTTTGCTTCAGGGAAAAATAAAAAACACCTTTGATTTAACAATGTTTCCTCTCCACTCTGTGGCATCAACTCAGATAAGAATATTTTTTTCTAAGATATCCTTGAAATATCCATCCTGTGCCAGCAGTGCCACACTACAGTCATCCTGCTGGCATTACTTGAATCTTCTTCCCTACTGCCTTGAAAACTGTGCATGTTTTTGTTTCTGTAGCTGGTTCTAAGACATGAGGTCAGTGGCAGACAGTTTACCTGAGCAGATCTGGACACTATAAATAGTCTCTGTTTGTGATTGCCTCCACATGCTGCTACAGGAAGAGTTTCAGTCCTGGTGAACCTTCCTGCCTCAGTGCAGCCAGGTTTTGCAAAGTGCTGAGTTTTCCCACCAAAGATAGAAACAAATTAAATTTGAAGTCCAAAGGTGTCCAGTGCACGAAGCTCATGTCTCAGCACCCATTGAGATGAAACTGGTCTAACAAGCTCTACCGGGACAGTCACTGCTGTGCTAAGGTAGCCAGACAGCTTCCAGCAGGAGCCAAAAACAGGCACAGCAGCTCACATCTGGATGCAACTTATGTGTCAACTACCCTAAAAATGCATTTGCTCAGTCCACAGTTTATAAGACCTCTTAGAGTCGAATTTGATTTTCAAAGTCCAGTTCATCTCTCTAGCTTTCTGAAGATGAGTAACTCACATTTTCTTCCAGTCTCCTGTAATGATATAAACTATTTTAAGAGAGGTTCAAATCCACTTACTCATATGTCAGTCTGAATTTGGCTCACTGGATAATTTGGGGTGGAATTTTGGTTATTTTATGAATCCTTGTCCACCATCTCTAAACTGTGAGCAGCACATCAGTCACCAGCCCTGAAAAGTTTGCCTTTGACTAGTCTAACATCACTTCTTCCTGGAACTTCCGCAGTTTTTGCTAAAAATTAAAGCTAATTTACCCCCACTGAAGTTTGAGACTGTTACCACTTCTGCCTGAGATGACAGCTTGCCGGTGTTGATAAGTGATGTGAGTGAAAATACCTCATCCTTTAATACAGGGAAATAAGAAAGACTTTTTCTTTGAAATGAAGTACTTTATACTTTCCCTTTGGATGATTCATGTGAGTAGGCAATGCTAATGACTTACCGTCTGCACACCCATCCATCCCGACCGAGACCAAAACCCCATAAGCAGTAGAGACAATTGTCTGTGCTCATTCAGAGAAGACATTCATTCCTCTCCCCTGCCCTGGGACTGATCTTAAAATAAAGCACTTCCTGGAATGTGCTATGTCATTCTGCTCCGTACTGCAGATCGCTCTGTACCGTATTGTGAGAGGTTTGATGGCACTGAATTGTTGTTTGTGCCTCGCTGGTGCTCCGTGCTGTGAACCCAGCGTGACCGAGCGTGGCAGAATCAGTCCTTCTTACATTTAACATGCCTGCAGCACTAATTTCACTTCAGTGCAGCTCACTCTGCATCAGTGAGTAACCAGCTGAGTACTAACTAGCAAATAGGTTAGTTTGGACTGGGTTTGTTTTGAAGAGTATTACTGGCTGTGTCAAAAGCACTACCAGGCTCTTACAGAGATATAAACTGGGCTAGAGTTAGTGGGTTCCTACAAAATGTAACAGAGGGGAGAAAATAAAGTGAATCTTTTATTAAAATGTTTTTCCTGTTTATTCCCTTAAGGTGCAAGTTCAAGGAATGACAGGGAACATCCAGTTTGACACCTATGGGCGGAGAATGAATTACACAATTGATGTGTATGAAATGAAAGCTGGTGGATCACGGAAGGTGAGTTCCAAGATGTGCATCCAGATTTCACACCCTCACAAATATTTATTCCAAGAAACTAATGAAACAAAAATACCATAGAGGCAGTGTAATAGCAGGGCCCTGAGAAACTGCCTAGTTCTGTTTTATAAAAGAAGTTTAAGGCAGATTTTCAAAAATAATTAGGTAAACAGGGTCATAAGTACTGAGAGAGGAGTCTGCGTAGCTGAGCATCTTAAATCCTCCTGATTTCACCTGGAGATAGGTACCTAACCTGCTTGGTCACCACTGAGACTCCTTAAACAATTCTGCACGTTTGATAGCAAAATGCCTGTGGACGTGGCCCAGCCACTCAGGTATGTGTACAGTGCAGCCAACAGTGTTACTCCTGTGTTGTGCAGAAATATAAAAACTAGTGTAACAGCCCAGTGATGTAGCCACAGCACCACGAAGGTCAGCACCAGCCAGCTGATAAACAGTCACCTCGTGCTCACAAAGGGATTTGTATCCTGAGCTGAGGATAAAGCTGCTGTGCCTGCATTGCTAACAATGTCTGCATCTGCTCTAAAGCCAGCTCAGGCAGGTCTGCAGGGGCTATATTCACTGGCCAAACTGCAGCAGGATATGGATAAAAATTACAAAAGCAGAGAATTTTATTCAGAATGCTGTGCAGTTTATTTTCATGTCTGTAGTGTATTCTTATGCTGTGGAAACGTGGAAATTTATTCCACAAGCACCACGATTGATTGAGATAGGGAGAATTTAATATGTGTTTTCAATTAGATTTGGCTTGTGCTTATTTGCTCTTGGGATTGAGAACATTGTTTCTTTAAGGAAATTACCTTAAAGCTAATGTAGTCCCTTAATGACAGAAACGGTGTGTGAGAAATGTTACAAAGCCACATGTTTTGACAGTTTCTTTTACAAGTTCAGGTACCAGAGTCCTTTTGTAAGGTATGTAATGAGGTAACAATCTCCTTTTTTTATAGGCTGGTTATTGGAATGAATATGAAAGATTTGTGCCAGCATTAGATCAGCTGCCCTCTAATGACACTTCATCAGTGGAGAACAGAACTATAGTAGTCACTACCATCTTGGTAAGTTTTATGTTCTTAGTGTGTTTGTGTTTAGGAAAAAAGACACATGGCTCCTGAGGTGTGTTAGACACCTTGCCAGGAGGCAGATGTTGAACACTGTGTGACTTCAAGTGACTGGAAAGTTCAGTATCTCCCAGAGTTGTTCTGAGGGCTTGTCCCTGCAAGCTTCTCAGTCAGTTTGCTCACGGGAGGAGCTCACTGAGCTCTCCATCGTGCTTTGCTGCTTCTCAGACACTTGAACTCAATTAAATGCCTCATGTAAGTGAAGTTATTGTGCATGTATGTAAATGAGCACAGGTTCTGGCCTTCCTGCTGTAGGGTCAAATCTTGCACCCCTCACTCAGGTACAGCTCCTGTAAACGCAACCCCTGTGGACTGAGTAAGGGTGGCACAATGAAGCCTGTAGAGAACTGGAACTGCTCTAGCACTGTGTGAAAAGCAGCCCCTACCTGTGCAATTCCAAAGGAGCAAAGCTCTTCCCGTGTCTCACGAGCAGCAGCACCTCCCAACGCCTCTACAGACCTGCTCTGTACAGTATTCATTGTGACTTTTGTGCCTGTGACAGTTCTGCTAAGCATGAACCAATTTTATGCTATTTCCTGAAGCATTGTATTTTATACTCCTATGGATTTAGCGAGATGTAACCAGCATTTCAGCTAGAATTTTCCAAGAAGGCTAAGGGAATTCAGTGACAAAAAATTCTGCTGAGGATTTCAGCCTAGATTCCCTTAGGCTGCTTTGGAAATACCTCCATCAGAGCCCCATTCTAGATCACTGGGGCCCTAGGAAATTATGTTGATGGGACAGGTGGTGGGTATGTCAGTCCTTAAACACTAAAACCTGAATTATTACTGCAGTGATGCTATTTGACTGCCTAATCAGGCCTGCTCCTGCAAACAGAAGTGTAACTGTGTTTAAAAATCCTGCTGTCTTCAATGGGTTCATACTAAGAATGCAATCAATAATATGTGTGGCTGTAGGATCAGCCAAGGATTTTTAAACTGCAGAAGTCTGTCTTTCTAATTTCTGTACCAAAGCAGGAAATATTGTAAATACTTGCCAGTAATATAAAGGATAATAACAACTCTCATTTTGTGTGGTTTACAGCTGTATTTTACATTCATAGACTTTTGATCTTTACTTTTGTTTCAAAGGAATCACCATATGTAATGTATAAGAAAAACCATGAACAACTAGAAGGGAATGAGAGATATGAAGGATATTGTGTAGACTTAGCTTCTGAAATAGCAAAACATGTTGGAATAAAATACAAACTGTCAATTGTTGGAGATGGGAAATATGGAGCTAGGGACCCTGAGACTAAGATATGGAATGGCATGGTGGGTGAACTGGTCTATGGGGTAAGTTTCTCTTAACCTTCATTTTAATGTTCTTTATAAATAGTTATGCTCAAAGTTAATAAACTGCAAAATAAAGATCATCTGTTTGAATACTACCTTTAAAATTCTAGATATTTCTTTGTAGAAATTTCTTTTTATAGTCTACTTTTCTAATCTTTTCATTTCAGGAAAGTGTCCCTGTTTTTTTTTCTACTGTTCTCCAAATCAAGAGTCCACAAAATGTTGAGAAGTAGCATTGGGCAAATTTCAAATTCTTGTTTAAAGCAGAATTTCCAGTTTGCCCTTTATATACTGCTTCTTCACTTGCCACATCTCCTTTTTCTGTATCGGTCTCCTAAGTGCTGAGAGGATGGCTCTCCCATTAAAAGTCTCATCTGCGATTCTGGCCCTCTTTGGGTCACTGATGCTGGTTTGTGTTTGACCAGAGACTAAAGACTCAGTTAATTCCAAGGTGGTTTTTGTCTTTTTTTCTTTTTAAACCCTTGGTTTGGTTTTAAAAATCAACTGGCAGACAAAAAAAAAAAAAAAAAAAAAAGCCTAATTCATTGCATTCCTCTTTATATTTCTATATTGGGTGTACATTGCTTTGTTTAGTAAGAACAAAAACAGTCCGGAATTGCCATTTTAGAAACTTCTTTGAAAATGAGAATTTTGGAATACAGATAAACCAGATGGAAGGGGGAGAAAATTGGCTCTGCAGAAAAGACTTTTCAAGCTGATATTTCATCTTTGCTTTTTTTTTTTTTTTGCCCCAAATGCTAATGAGATGATTTGTGATTCCGCCCAAATCTTTTTTACAGTTTATTTTTAACAAGCTTTCCTCTATTAAAAATATCTGAACAGAAGCGAATATTTCAATTGCTTCCTTTTGTTCCGTGGCTGAGTGTAATTTCTAAAAGTCACCTTAAAATTTCCTTGGGATAATACATCATCTTTCTTGCAAAAATGTTTGGTGAGATAATTCTTTTCAAATGAATCAGGCTCTTTAAAATAATTGCTAGATTTGCAAAAGTTTTCTTACTCTGGAGCAGTCAGTCCTGATGCCTTATTATGTATGTGGTAGTCTCTTCAACATCACAGTATTTTGTAAAAATTTTTAATTTTTGTTTTAAAATGTTTTTGTGGTATCGTATTATGGCAGGATAGGGAATGTACTGATGAGGGAAAGTAAACAGGGGACTGGACCCCCGGATTACACCTTTGCTTCCCTGTTGCATTGAGGTTTGACCTTAAGCAAACCTTCTGAACTCCCCATGCCTCAGTTATGCACCTTGGGAGACTGATGGGAGACTGATGTTAGTCTGTTAGAGAACACAAGTCCGTTGAGGACCTCTGAAGCAAAGGTTTAATTTAGTTCTGAGCAAATTACATTGCACTGGAAACCTAAACCCTCGGTTTCTCTGTGTGTGGTTCAAGAAATATCAAGAATATCAGCTGTAATTGGGTCCTTTTGATCTACTCTAGAGTGACAAGCAGTTTGTTCACTTAAAAAAATTAATCATACCATAGGCAAGAAGCAAGGCAGAAGAGAACCTGAACTTGCTGCTAACACTCAGGCACAGGGACTGTCCACACGAGAGGGGGAAAGGTGTGGTGTGGGGAACTGCTCTTGGGACTTGAGCCAAGTAAGAGGAGCCTGTGCAGATGCTGTGCTATGTTAGATCCATCAGGATAAAGGGCCACAGAAATGCTCAGGGGGTGGAGCACCTCTCCTGTGAGAAAAGGCTGAGAGAGTTGAGGCTGTTCAACCTGGAGAAGTAAAGGCTCCAGGGAGAGCTTAGAGCACATTCCAGTATCTAAAGGGGCTGCAAGAGAGCTGGAGAGGGACTGTTTACAGGAGTGTAAAAAGTGTCCAGTGATGAGACAGTAAGAAATGCCTTTAGACTAAAAGGAGGTAGATTCAGATTAGATATTAGGAAGAAATTCTTTACTGTGAGGGTGCCAAGGAGCTGGCACAGGTTCCCCAGAGAGGCAGTGGGTACCCCATCCTTCAAAACATTCAAAGGCAGGCTGGACAGGGCTCTGAGCAACCTGATCTCATGGAATATGTCCCTTCTCATTGCAGGGAGGTTGGACTAGGTAATCTTCAAAGGTCCCTTTCAACCCAAACAATTCTGTGATAAACAGGTTGGCTGCAGCTGCCTTTTCCACAACCCCTCGGGATGAGCCTTGCTCAGACAGCTCTGCCTCCTTAGCATCAAACTTAGCCCTGTCCACGTCCCTGTGACCAACCATTCTTGTGACCTTTCCACACCAGCAAAGACCAGCCCTGCAGGCACCACAGACCATAGCATAAAACAACCCCAAGCCCACCCCACCATGCTCATTTTCCCCTGCAAAAAGGTCTGTTCTTATGTATTCTGAGCACAGTTTTCATCTGTGCTTTCTTGTTAATGAAAAATTGAGGAATGTTTTCCTCCCTGACCCCCAACAGCTCCTGTACTCAAGCTGTGAGCTCTGTTACTGAAGCCTCTTCACTGCAGTGCTCAATTATTCAAAGGTCAGAGTCGTCCCGTGAGGTTTGAGTGCAGGCCCAGGTTAATTCTTACAGCCCTGCTCTGCTGAGCCAGCTCCCTGGCCTGCCAAGCTGAACTGACTGGCAAGCTGCATGGAAATCCACCTGGCTTTCTGGGAGCAGAGGAAACAGCCCATGAACCCTGAGTACAAACCTCAGCAGCCCTCCACATCTTTCCCCAGCTCTATTTGCAAACATGGTGAAATGCCCTTGTCCTCTTCCTCCATCTGTTGAGAGGGGGCTATGTACCACACTCACAAGGATGTGCACTAGGCCCTTTGAAAATGAGAAATGCTCTAGAAGTGCTAATTATTTGGAGCAAACGCCTCATTTACGTACTGACTTTCCTTTATCTCTCAGGGGCTTAAAACTCTATTAGGGAACTAAAACTGTACGTTACTCTAATGCCCCTGTGAGCCTTGCCGGCAAAATGATTGTCAAATTTGGCTCCTCTGGATTCCATTTTGGGAAGACAAGAAGGAGATTAGATTTTAAGTATCTTTATTAGCATGTATGGAAGACAGACTTGGGGGGGATAAAAGGGGCCTGATTGGTTTTGGTACCAGTTATCCAACAGCTGAGCTGAGCTGTGGCAGAAACACAATCCTTTAGATTGCATTTGTCTCACGTAATAAACAGGGACGAGTCATTTGTCAAATCCAGTGTATTCCTGACCCAGCAGCCTCCTCACCACCACCTGGCACTGCTGGGGCGTCTCTCCTGGCTTTTTGAATACTGTGCCCTTTTTTTGCATGGCCCCATGCATGCAACTCTTTTCTAAAATTGCTCTTAGGACAGTCATAGGAAGGGAATGGCTTGTCATTTTAATGTCAAAACCCTAATTAACTATATTTAATGTTTGGTTTGTGCCAGTTCATTGTTACTGTTGCTCCTGCTTCCCGTGGAACGCAGCACAGAGCCAGGAGAGAATAGGCAGCCTCCAGACCACTGTGTTGGAGGGCTGGGAATGTCAAGGAGCAGAGGGATGGGTGGGATGGGAGGGGGCTCAGTCTGCACTGAGCTGTACCTGGAGCAACAGGGGTGCTGTGTCACTGTGCTGCAGGTCCTGAGGCTGCCCAGCACAGCCCTGACTCCAGGGTAAGATTAGCCAGAGGTCAGCATTAACTAGGCTAATTGCAGCAATCCTGGGAGTTACACATTGCCATTTACCCACTAAAACACTTCCCATTAGAAATTCTCCCTCTCATCTCACATCACATCAGGGCTGGTTGGAGGGTGTAAAAGTCTGCTGTGCCGTAGGGTCTCTGAAGTCAAGGACAACCTCAGCTCTCCCTCTTGGGCCTTTCCTTGCAGCTTTGCAAGGGCCTGTATCACTACACCTGGTTACAGAGGGATGGGAACCCTGGAGGCTGGGAGTTCTGCCTGAGCAGATATTCCCAAACTCCCTTGCTTCAGGCAGGAGAATCCAGAAGTCTTCTTAGAGAGGAGCTAACGGGGCTTTGTGGTTAATTAGCAATTTTTAAATGTCACTAATAGTAGTAGGAGTAGTAATGGTAATAGTAATAATAATTAATAATGATAATTAAATTTGAGATAAAATAAAATTTATTTGATTTTTCATAACTCATAAAGTGTCAATTCAGGTTGAAAAAAAAAAACTAATTTTGCTCTTTCATTCTGATGGTATCAAAACAAGGCTTCATCCTACCAGAAAAAAACTACCAATTCGAGCACTATTATTTTTTTAAACTAAGAGCAATTTCTAAAGCATAGTGGAAACTTTTGACAGAATAAAAATAGAAAATAGTCAGAGCTTTTTTTCCCCGGACGTTTCAGATGAGGGAAAGTAGCTAAATCATTCTCAGGCCAGGAGACTGAATCACTATTTAAATCTAACCAGCAGGGCAAGTGCTGTCCTCCAGTGACCCAGGGGCTGAGGACGTGCCCTCCGCTGGGGCTGCGGAGCTGCAGCACCTCCCTCAGCACGGGCCCCATGAGGCCGATGCTCGGGGCTTTGTACCCACCAGCTGCTGAGCACTAGACAGTCGTCTTTTCTCTTCTGTAGGGTCAGCCTCTTTCTGTAGGCTTTTATTTCTTCTTTCCCTTTTAAAGCAGGCTGCTGTTCTTCCTCCCCTGTTCAGCCAGGGAAAGCCGTCCCTCCCCGGCCCTGATGCTTTTCACAGCGCTGAGGCTAATTGACAGTAGGTTTAACACAGATCTTAATTGTAACTACAAATGCTTTGGGAATGAAAAGAGCAGCCAGAACTTACAGCCTTCAAAACTCTTCTCAGGTTAAAAAGGTCATTGTAAAAACCTTTCAGTATGTAAAATAGCACAAAGGAATGAAGCAGGGATGTAAAGGACAGGGAGTCTCTGGAGTGCAGCAGTCTGTCAGAGTGGGACCACCGACACATCTCCCTGCCTTTAGCAGACTAACCAGCCTCGTGTGGTGCTGGCCTGGGCTCTCCCAAGTGCTACAGATGACATCTACAGCCTTTGAACTGTAGGAGAGAGGAAGACTAACTCAATTCTAACTTCTTCTCAAAATGTCCCATGTGCTCTTGGCAGAGCCTGACAGTGCCATGAGTGGGTGGGTGAAGTTTGCCATTCCCTCCTCACCCCTGGTGTCTGCAGAGGGGTAGCCCAGGTACAGGTTCCCAAAGGCAGTGGCTCAGGCAGATCCTCATCCTGTACCCACATGGACAGATGTGGAGTCCCTGCCCAGGCTGAGCCGTGGTGGCACTGCCACATGGAGGAGGGATGGGATGGGATTGCAGCCCTGGCACAGAGCCACCCACACTGCTGTGGGCCCCGACTCTGGCTGACCTGGGTCTCAGCACGGACACAGCTCCAAAAGCAGATGTACCCTGTATGTCTCCATCTGTGTATGGCAGTGCTGTGTCAGAAAGAGCTGTGGGCATCCACAGAAAGCACGAATGGACTTAACATTGACAAACTGCAGCAGACAAGGCCAACTGCCCTTTTAACACCTTAATACCTTTTTACACTGCTCAGCTAGTACACATTAAGACTTCAATGCACAGCATGTTCCTAGTCAGATATCAGCTGTTGGTTTTAAATAAGTGTGAGCTAGTGTGTTAAAAACCCATTGCCCCCATGACCTGGCCTCTCAACACATCCTGAATATCCTGGGGGATACTGGACTGCCTTTACAAAGTTAGCTTTTGCCAGCAGATACCACAGGTGATGTGTTGCTCTGTCTGACACTCTTTTCTGATACCTGGAAACCTCAGACTGCACTGAGAAGTCTTAAAACATGCTCAGAGTCAGTCGCTGTTCCAGCACAGCCTCTTCTGATGCCTCAGTGTACCTATATTTGGCACTTTTGGGGTGCCCAGATGTTTGGCTGCCAGTGGAAGCCAGACAGTGTCTCTGCTTCAGTCTGCTCATAGAGTACTGCCTTGCTTCCTCTCACACAAAGGTCTTGCAAAGTGACTGTAGCCCAGACCCACTTCTTACAAACTGACACAGGAGCAAAGGAGTTGTTCATTTCTGCAGGCAGGAATGACCCAAAGCACGTGCAGGCAGGAGCATAGCCTGTATCTCTTGCTGTCTCTAGTGCATAGCTTTGAAGTTAGAGAGAGTCATCTGTAAGCAGAAGAATTCCACCCCTCCTTTCGGATTACAGAGGTGGAACATCTTATCATTTTTCTTTTTCCACAGAGAAGGGTATTTCCATTTGCTATTTTTTCTCCTTCCCCGTAAGAGTCTTGAGGTTTGCAGCTCCCTGGGGTCAGCTTTGAGCAGAGTGGGCAGCGCCTCTGCTGCATGTCCTCTCCAAATCCATCCCTCCCACACTGGTAGGCAAAGACAGAACAAGCCTCAGAGGAATCCATGACATTTCTCGCCCAGCTCAAATGCAGTGAAGATGATGTTTGAAACGCCATTAGTCATGAGTGATTAGCAAAGCTTAGTTGTTGAGGTTCTTAAACCCCCTCCAGTTCTGCACAGAGAGGGACACGTTTGTGGTTATGTTCTTTTTAATCGAGCTCAATTTGTATGGGTTCTGCTTATCTGCAGCCATAACAGGGAGGGAAATTCTCAAGAGTGCTGCAGTTATTAATGATCCTTTAGGGTGCTTAGAGCTCTCCATAAGCTCTCCATTTCAAATACTGTATCTCTAAATAAATAAGCAAAGAGCAAACTGGCTTTTAACCTCCCTAATGCAACTAATATTCAGAGAAGTGGTGGGCAGCCAGGCTTGGGTTTGTAGCTGGTCCACCCTCAGTGCTCTGGTTGCTGATGGTTTCCTGAGACCCTGCACGTGAAATGATTCTTGTTCCCTCTGCAGAAACCAATTGCTGCCATGTTCATTTAGGGGGGAGGATGTTTGCTGGTGTTTCCAATACAGTGAATGCCTCTGGTAGGAACAATAGGAAAGGAGGAAGACTGAAACATATCGGAAAAAGAAATGTTTGTATCCCTTGTAATGTTAAAATGCAGTTTGAAATTGTTTACAATGAAAGTCTGTACTGTATGATATGAATGAGGACATGGTAACAACTGAGGCCTTTAAAAAGTGATTTGTCTGTGCTTCAGCACAGCATCAGCTTCATCCCCCTAAAGTCCCACAGGAACATCCCACATGAACTCAGCTGGCCATGAAGGAGATACAGACCTTATTGCATGCTGCATCAGCACTTAGGAAGAGCTCCACCGTGTCTACTTTGGCAATTAAAATATTACTTTGGGAGAATTAAATTTCTCCAAGTCTGGGAAAACGGTCCAGAAACTAAATGCTCTTGTAGCTGAACCAGCCTTTTCCTTCCTTGATGAGGTGTTCCAAGGCTGGCAGTCCATGTGCAGTAAGATACCTGCCTCCCACCTACGCTTCAGTTTGCATGGAGGCATTGCTTAAGTCTCTGCAGGGGTCTCGATCCATTAAACTTTCTCTAATAAGGATTAATTTGTAAGTACCTCATTAGTTCAGTATGAAGTACGGTGGCCATGGTCAAAGTGCTTAGTCTTCCAGCCAGCCGTGGACTCTGACTGCATTTAAAACTGCTATTCTGTGTGCATCTCATACTGACTGCAGACATCTAATATTTAACAGTAGCTCAACGAGCAGCAGCTGCAAGACAAATATATGTTTGGGGGAATTCTTCAGTGAAAAAGTTCCAACATCATCCAGTCCTTTTACCTCTCTCTATTCCCTCAGTCTCTCCATTACTTAGGTGATGAACACATTCATCCACAGAGCCAGTGAACACCCAGGCATCCCAGGGCACTTTCAGGTTTTATATTCAAGCCACATTAAGCTTGATTTTTGCAGTAAGTGACCACATAGCTGAGGGTTTTCTCCTTGGGGAAAGGGTCACTCAAGGGGAAAGGCAGTGTCCCAGTACACATGACTGTCTAAAGGGGCTGAGCAGGGCTGTCAGAGGAGGCACCCAGGGCCATGGTTTCACAGTGGCTTCCTTATGTGCCCAGACAAGGTTTATCTGATTATTTCTGATTATTCCAAGCGGTGAGCTTGTGCACATACCTTGTAGTTGCACGTGCCAGTATAAACTGCCGAGAGATATTCCTGAGTGGCTGGAGGAAACCCAGAGGTTGTGTGTGCAGACAGTGCCCTGTGGAGGGAGGCTTGTTGTGGGGAGGGCCAGTGCTCATCCGACAGGGCTGCCAAAGCCTCGGTCAGCAAACCCCGAGCCAGTGCCCTGGGCACTGCTGCTCGGTGCTGCCAAGGCACCAGCGGGCACAGAGCCCACGATGCTGAGATCAGCCTTAGCAGAAGCCTTCACTATTTCTGCTTCTTAAACTTAAAAAGAAAACCCAAACCAACTGTCTAGGAAGAGGAGCAAACCAGACATAAATGACAGTCAAGTACATCACCATTAGATTTACATAAAGGCATATCAATTATTTTATGGCATAGATTTTAATCACTTCCTTTTAATGTTTCCCATGAACTTATATTCAAACTTTTACTTAATCAGGCTTTGTTTTTCCACCAGAAAGAGATATATAGTTAACAGTGGGGGGAAAAAATATCAGATTTAAAAGGTGCACAGTGGTTAAGGTACTGGTAAGTTAAGCTTTCCCTAAGAGTAATTTTTTCTCTCTGAAATTCATAATTACCGATGAAAGGCCATCTTTGAAAGTATCACATGAATAGTTATAGAGTGTTTAAAATAGATGACAAAAAAATGTATGTAGGTATGTAGAATCTCATAACAATAACTTCTAAATGAAAAAGGCTTCTTTTTTTAAACATTCTATTCCCCTCTGATGCAAGTGCTGACACCTGCTAGGTTATTTAAACAGCATGACTTGAATCCTTCTTGCACAGACATACAGATACAGTTAGATATGTTGAAAATCTATTTTGGAATGTTATTTTTAAAGGAAACCAATTTGTTTTCTCATTCCTACCCTGCCATGGAATCCAGCAAGGGTGTATTGATTGAAGGGAAGGGTATTGGTTCAGGGGATACCGTGTGCTGGTGAATGACACGTGCCATAGATGCGACTGTGCTTCCAGATGGCACAGCCCCAGAGCACAGTCTGTGTTACAGGACTAACAGGAGGGCACACAGGAGACTGAAAAACACTGCTTTGCATTCTTCTCAGATTACCCAGGCTATTTACTCCTCAGGGATTCACAAATGTGTGTTACTGTCCTTCACTGAGCACAGAAAGGATGGGCTGACTGGTTCCTATCCCCCACTATTTACCATCTCCTGTCCTTTATTTCAGTGGAGTTTCAAGGGAGTGTACAAGTAGCAGTACCCAAATGCAGCTGAAATTCAGTGACTAACTACTTCTCACAGATTCATTTTAAAGATCCTAGAGTAATCAGTAAGGCAAGAGAACTTGCTGAAAGAATGGAGAAGAGAAAATTAAAACATAGAAAACATAATTAGCCCAAAGTCTTCAAGACAAATGGGTAGATACAGACCATTACTAGAAAATCACATTTTTCTAATTGCCATCTCACTGTCCATTTTGTGTAATGTTTATTTATCCCTTTTAAATTAATAGAAATATCTGCCTCTGTCATGAGCACCTTGCACAGATTTGATTGTAATTTTTCTTTTTAATAATTGTCTATTAATATCATGTAGCCCTTAACTTCAGTGACTGCAAATAGGCTGCAAAGAGTGTTTCCACTCACTCTTGCAATTTATCATCTGATTCATTAGCCTGACATTCTAGATTGTGCATCTGTTGTGTCTGATTTGTAACTAACTTGTGTTTGTTTTCCCTTTTCAGAGAGCAGATATAGCTGTTGCCCCCCTCACCATAACATTGGTGCGAGAAGAAGTCATAGACTTTTCCAAACCCTTTATGAGCCTGGGCATCTCCATCATGATCAAGAAGCCTCAGAAATCTAAACCGGGCGTGTTCTCTTTCCTGGATCCTTTGGCTTATGAAATTTGGATGTGTATAGTCTTTGCTTACATTGGCGTCAGCGTAGTTCTTTTCCTAGTCAGCAGATTCAGCCCTTATGAATGGCACTTGGAAGACAGCACTGAAGAACCACGTGACCCTCAGAATCCTCCTGACCCTCCAAATGAGTTTGGAATATTTAACAGCCTTTGGTTTTCCCTGGGTGCCTTTATGCAGCAAGGATGCGATATTTCTCCAAGGTTTGTTCCATGTCACTCCATCACCTTTTTGCATTTTATGGTCATTTTCTGATGCCATGGTGCATATATGTTTCTTTTGCAAATTTCTTTTTTAATTCCAAATTTTTTTATTTTGAGATTCCATTCAACGTTCAGCATCATCATCATCAAGCCACCGTGCTTGCTAACATTCGCCTCCAGAGTGAGTAGCATTGCTTATAATGCCATTTATGCATTTCTGCCAAACTTATATTCACCATGTGAAGGCTGTAAAATGCATAGGGTTTTGTGTTTTCAGCAATGCTTGGAGGGCTACCGTGTTTTTGCTGCATATCTCATTTTACGGTCATCTTCTTGGTGCATAAAACACATTCTGCTTTGCAAAATAAGAACTATTTCTTTTTAAAAGTCACATGCAACAGCATTTTAAAGCATCTCCACTCCCATTAAGGCTCCTGCTAGTGTTTTTACTTTCTTTTGAGCCTGATTTCTCTGGTTTTGTTTTTCTTGAGCCATCCTTTCATCTATTAGTAATTTGCTTTCCACCACATTTTTGCATGTGTTCAGGTCTCTGTGTACTGTTACTGCCCTGTATGTGTATTGTTACTTCAGTCCAGTCTAATCTGTTGTCCCTCTGTTCATAGTCAGTATGGTCTAATAAGCATTGCCAGTTTCCATAAAGGTATTTCTTATTCATGAAAACAGTCTTTGTGGGTAAGGCTGTAGTAAAGTATGTTTGACATTAGTTCCAGTGGAACAGAGAGCAGTGCTATTAACTACTGTAGACTTAATTAAAGAAGTATTTTAAAAAACAGCTGAGAATAGTCAAGTTCCCTCTGATTGAACAGTGCACACCACAGATGTTTTCTGAATAACATATATCATGTTTCTACATTTACACTGGTAAAATGCTTTAGGGATGTGCTTGTGATAAGCAGTAAAATTACCTAGTTTCTTAGTAATGGAGCACTAATTACATTTTGTATGACAATAATCTAATAATCAGTTTACAGCTATTTTAATTATTCCAAATACCTGCTTAGTACAAACAAGATGCAGTTCTTCCATTTAACAAGGTTGCTGTTTAGAGGAAGAGAGGCAGATCTTTTCTAAGCACTGACATTTGAAATGCACCTTTTTGATCTCCATGTTTGTTACCTTTTTCAATACCTGAGTCACTGAAAAGTCACCAGGTTTTCCTTGTCCGTATAGCAGTGGGGATCTTGAGTAGCCCCCAGGAAACAAGCGACAAAACTTCTATGAAGTTTCATGGGAAAGATCATGATTTCACCTGTTAGAGTGTAACAACGATCCTATAAATTCGCAGTCGTTGCATATTCAAATGTCCTTCTGATGGCAGTGAGATCCAGGACTCTGGGAGTTACTGGCGTGTGCCTGGTGATATTTGATGCAAGTCACGCCCACATTTTAAAGGTCTTGACAGCAGCAATTGTATTTCATAGGTACCAGGAATGCCTGTGTACCCTCTGTAACACACACACGTTTTTGCCCTGGCTGTGACCACGTGTCAGTGTTCCCAGTTCCCTGTGGCTGGGTGTGCTGCCTCCCTGTGTAGTTACAGCCTGTTCCTCCTGTTTACACTCCGTGTTTCTGCTTTGTGCCTCAGTTCTCCACTGAAACTTTGCCTTGCTGCTTGCTGTTGAAGGGGATGAGCAGTGATAACATTTAAATTGCTGTTGACCATGTGTGTGCCCAACATAAAAGACCGGGAAATAAGCACTGGGACATCACATGGAAAGCTGCAGGCATCGCACTGTTTCCGCTAGGTCTGGTTATTGACAGTTAAATAGACGTGCATAGGATTTTTGTTAAGCTCTCATGTGACTCTTTGGTATGTTCAGCCATTTCCCTTATATAACATGAGGAACATAGTGGTTTTTCGCAATAGTACCATCAGAAGTGCCTTGGATATACCTACAATAAAGAAAAGAGACAACAGTATATACCCATTTATTTTAACTGTCCATCAGAAGCTATTAGCTCACTTTTAATATATAACCCCTACTTGAAGACGTTGTGCAGTTCTTTTGTTATCATCTTCTATGATAACATTCCAGGCAGTTACATGCATTGTTACTGAAAAGAAAGACAAATTTAATACTTGGGTTTAAATTCCAGAAACACTGTTCCTTTGACCTAAATGTTGATTTAAGTTGATTAAAATGTCAGATTTCTTTTCCGTAGAAGGGACTATTCCCAAGTATTCCATTCTTAATCTGTATCTTTGTAAGGTTACGCCATTCACAGTACATTGACTATATGAATGTTTCATACTATTTTATTGCCATTAAAAGGGGCTTCATTCTTTCATTGTGAGTTTTGTCTGAATAAATTTCTTATATGAGAGCATACAGCACTTGTAGAGAGATGCCGACAAGCAGTCTGGAGAGATCACTTTTGTACTTGCTGATAAAGGCTCTTTCAGCTGCCTTTGTGTGGAACAGCTGTGACATCTAATGACTAGTTAGATCTATCCTCGGTGAGTATGCTGTGTGGATATTCCAGAGGATATATCCCTATACTCTCCTCTCTGTATTTAATAGGAGTCGTCTAAACAGAATCCGAGAGCAGCCGAAGGGTGGGGGTTAGCGCATCCCTTGATGGAATCAACACTTATTCCAGCAGTTTTGTTCTGCTATCAAAGGCTGCTGTGTTTTCTGCATAGTGAGCTAAAGCATTGAAAATTCACTTTTGATGGATCAAAAGTACATTATTAAACTTGCTTTTATGTGAGATGTGTACAGCAAATGGAATCAGGAAAAAACACGGTCAAATTTGTAACACTGTTTTGAGCGAATGTATCTTTGAAATCTCTGAAATATATGAGAGCATGTATTTTCCTTTTGCTCTTTATTCATGTAGAACAAAGAGGCTAGATTAATTAATTGCTGATGGAAAAAGGCAGAGGGTTCATTAAGAACTGTCTCAAGAGGTTGGTCATTTCGAGGGTGTATTTCTACGTCCCTGTTTTAACAGCAGGAGACTCAGGAGACTCCTATTAAAGGCCATGGGAATGACTTTGTGGGACTTTCACAGTAGCGATGAGAGCCAGGTAACTAGAGATTTCTGAAACTCCCACTGCCATTCCTATGATGGAAGCATCTCAAGCCAGTGCTTTAGATGCTGTTGTTGACTGTGTTGTGTCCCTGTAGGTGAGGTGAGGGCTGGCTGGGCGAGCAAGAGAGGGGCTGGGCCCGCAGGTAACGTGTGCTCAGAATATCAAGGGCTTCTAGACTAGCAGAGTTTGCACCAAAGTTGTTCAGAGTTATTTGTCAGCACAGCAACCGTCTTGTATCGATCAAAACAGCCCAATTAAAAATTGAGTAGTTGTGAGAAGCTTATTATTTCTGTGTACTATAGGAAATCAAATATGTTTTATGGCCACGAGCAGAAACAAAATTCAAGCTATCTTGACAAATGAGGTTTTGTTTGAATGTATTATTCTCCTGGAAACTGAATGTGAATTTGAATATTTATTTTGTTTTTTCTCTCATTACTAATTTGCTCTCATTTGACTCCATGCTTCCTTTTAAATTTCCTCTGAAGGTATGCACTCTTCCTTGCTTTTGAAAACACCATCTGATTTTGTTTTGACTACTGAGTTATAATTGTGTTATTTCGGGTTTGTGTTGCTCCTTTCATTTGTTAGCACTCTAATTCACTTTAAAATAATGTCATACAAAGTATCTACTTACTGAGGGGTTTGGGAAAACTACATGTTGGGATAAAGCATTAGTTGTTTTGGTTTTAAATTACAACACTACACATGTGGACAGGTATGTTTTCATCAGAAAAAAATGGTGCTGGTATTTAAAGCTGTGATTGATTTTTCTATAATTATCTGAGTAGTGGACAAACATTTCTGTGGGTCACAGTGCAAACCATATGGTTATTCTCTGATTACCAGCCTGGTGTTCATGTACTAACCCTTTTTCTCCTGCCTCCCTCCACACCAGCCCCTGCAGTGGGTATAAGGAGTCTTCGTATCAGCAGATGGCCTGGGGGGAACTGGGGTCTTTTGGGCAAGGAGGCTGCCAGGCCATGCTTGTCCATGTCCTTGTTCTTCAACTCTGTCTGTCTGTCTGTCTTTCCTTCAGTGTCAGCTTTGTGTTTTATTTGGTTTTTCTTTTGCCCCATCCTGTGCTCCCACCAGTGACAGCCAGGTCAGCCCAGACTGCTTCGTAGTAGCCGCTGTTTAATCCTCCTTCCTGTGCTCATGGGAAGACTCTGGGAGAAACAACTTTGGTGACAGCAAGTTTTCTTTCAAGTGACCTCAACTCTTCTGAAAACATCTCTAGTCCTCTTCTAGCAAGACCCCTCTCTTGCATATAGGACCCCTGAGGAAGTGCTTTCTTCATCAAGGGATCCCCCTTTGCCCTCCTTCCCCTACCTCTCAGCTGGTCTCCAGTTTTTGTCCTGTATCTGTCTGATTTGGTTCATGCAGGTTGCAGGATCTCTGGGGTGAGATATTTTTACCTTTCTTGGTGTGTTGGGTGCTGGCTGAGCATGCAGCCCAGCACAGTTTTTGTTGTTGCAGCAGTGTGAGCTTGATGTTTCACTGGTTTGGAAAATGCTTGTCTTCTGCACATCTCCATCCCAGCAGCCCATCTGTCCTGCTAACACAACAGGCAGCTGCCAATGCAAGTAAGAAATTTCCTATGGGAAACAACAAGGAGAATGAACACATTATTTTATTCCCAGTGCTTCCACTGAGTTTATCAGAACACTCTGGCAAGTCTTTTTCTCATCTTCCTTTTTCAAGGGCTACCTTAAAGCAGCAGGGCCAAGAGAACCTGGAAACTCCAGATAGAGCTAGTTCTGCTGTAGGCAAGTGGATATTTCATCTGCTGTACCTGCTACCCAAAACCTCTGCTCAATCTGGCTCTGAAATTATCTTCTCTGAAGACAGAAAGTAGGTAGTGAAGGGAGGAGCAAAAGTAAGATGAGTTTCACCTGATGTAGCCATCTGAAAGCAATAGACTGATTTTTAGTGAGGCATCTTGGTTCCCTCCAAAGTCACGAGACCAATCACTTTAGATTTATCCCACACTACAGCAAATGAGATAAGTCTCTTTCTAAGTGTGTCTGTCTCCTCTCTTGCTCTCCCTTGGCTCCAAAGGAAGCCTTACATGGCAGCAGGCGCTGCTTTGTAGTTGGCTAAAATTGTGTTAGCCATGTAAGAGGCTGATTCGGTGTGTAGGGTATCAAGTTGTTCTAAATAGCTAAAGCCAAGACCCTTCCTGGTAAGGGAACTGGCCAGAAAGAACTTGAGCCATCTGTGAAATCCCAAGATATTCTGCTGATATTTACAAAGAATGTAGAGAGAGATGGAGAGATTCCATGACTTTGTGCATTATTCTGTATTTATGTTTCTGCAAATTGCCTTTGCAGCCACTCAGTAGCCTTCTGTTAGTGAGCACAGTGGTTGCACAGCCCAAGTTAAAACTTGGAAGCCTTTTATCCTCTTGAGGGCCCTCAAGAAAGACAGAGAAGCCTCTTCTGATTGTGGGTGATCCGGTGGATGTGTGCCTGCCCTGAGGAACCAGCCTGCATCTGCCCTCTTGGTGGGAGCTGCTGCTTCAGCTCCTTGGGCAGAGGAGAGTGGAGAACAGCAGTGCTTCACCTCTGTGTTTTTTCTCCACATTCTTCTCACCTATTCCAGATTGATTTCTCTGTTTTTATTGTGTTGGCAATTTTTTTTCCTTTGGCATGTTCTTTAATGTTGGATGGATAATTTTTTTTTCTTTCTTTTATTTCTTAATAATTTAATGGCTTTTTTTTAATGGCTCAGGCAATCTCAGGCTCTGGCTAAGACTGGGCAGTTTACCAGCAAAACCCCCCCTATGTGGGTGGGGTGGGGGCACGTCACAAGACTTTTGCTTTTTGCCTACCTCCATCTGTTGGTAGGACAACTTGTACCCACTGTCTGGGGATGGCACTGAGGGGTTTGAAGGAAACAAATAATCAGGTAAGAGTTTTCTTGCTTTTTACTACTTCTCTTCACACGAACTGAGGACTACAACACTCAGGTTCCACCCTTGTGTCTGGGATTATTTCTACACTGGTATCAATAGAGCAAAGGGAAAACATATGAAATAGCTTTGTCTCAGCACCTGAAATGATTCTTGGTCAACATGCTGTTTGAAGAACAAGCACTGAACATGGCAGAGAAATTCCCCACCCAGCTGAGTGACATGGCACTGGCATCCTTCAGCCCAGGACAAATACTTTGAGCCTGATGTTCATTTGCTATAAAGCATCAGGAGCTCTTACTGACGGGATCTAGACCTCCTGACCATTAGGAATTTTGTTATTATAAGTTTGCAGATAGGCTTTTTTTTTTTTTTAATCCTTATTGGATCCCTTTAAAAAACAAAAACCTGAACAAAAACAACCCACAGTTAATTTTCTTTCTATTTCCTTCTCGATTGCTCTGGTGGTTGTAAAGCAAGAATATGCTTGACTTGGAACAGTGCAACATGCAAATTTTAATTAACATAAAACATAAACCAAACCAGCCTCTCTCCTCACTTCAATATGCAGATTCAGTCTGTAATTCCTGCTCGGTTGTGATGAGAGAAGGATATTGCATCTTTTTTGGTGTATTCCTTTGCACGTTTGCTCAGATTCCTTTTTGCCATTTACTGTATCTTACATTTTGGGAGTTGATGCAGTAAAAGGTGCATTTGTGTCCTCCCAGCTGGGCAGCCCCCAAAGAGACTCAGTACCAGCATATCACAGCAGGCAAGTCCAGTGCAGGGAAAGATGGGTACATGGAGAAGACAAAGGTCTTGTGGCAAAAGCCCTCTCCAGCAAAGTATTTGTGGAGGTCAGGAGAGCTTGTTCCTCTCCAAGCCTCAAATGAAGTATTGCTTAACTGACTGTTCTTGTTTTCACTGAAAGGCAAAGGGATTTTCATTAGGTAAGACCAGATGTGCTGCTCACAGATACCTGGAGGATCTGGACAAAAGGGTTGTGCATGTGAATTTCTCTTCAGTGAAGAAGAAAAAAAATCAAGGAATGTCTTCATAGCAATTTGATGATGTGTGTTTTTCCCTAGATCTCTCTCAGGGCGAATTGTCGGAGGAGTCTGGTGGTTCTTCACTCTCATCATTATCTCTTCCTACACTGCTAATCTCGCTGCCTTCCTCACGGTGGAAAGGATGGTTTCACCCATAGAGAGCGCAGAGGACCTGGCTAAGCAAACCGAAATAGCCTATGGCACTCTGGATTCAGGTTCAACCAAAGAATTCTTTAGAGTAAGTCTGTTCAGTCTCCACTAGAGTTTTTTTAAACTGTAAGTGCCTAATTTATGGGTTTCGATTGTTTAGTTTTGCTCAGCTGTAATAGCTGTTCCGGTGAAAGCTGCTCTGTGCAATCAGGACAGGCCTGAGTGCAGATTTTAATATCAAAAGGCATTTTATCAAAAATGAGTGGTTTTGCTCAACCTGAAACATCTCAAGATGGAAAAACCTGACCTCTGCATATCACGGGAAAGGTTTTGTAACACCAGTTTCAGAACTGCGGTCTGATGAGCAATAATGCAGTCGTTCGCACGATATTTAGCAGAGAAAACTCTTTGTGAGGAGTGATGCTCTTGACCTACTTGCTCTGCGTGCCCAGCTGGCAGCCGGTAATGCCATCCGACATGGGCACTCACATGCCAGAGCGAAAGGGGGATGGGAGGCATGTGTTACTGCTCATTTCTGTGGGGGCATTGATTGCTGCCATTGCTGTTGCTGTGTCTTCATTGCTCACCAGTGTCTGGCTGTGGCCCTGTTGGGCAGTCAGGGGTAAAACTTCTGTACCCCTGAACACTGGGGGTGTATTTGCCTTGGTTAGAGAAATGTTGGGTTTGCAGAGTTTGGGGGTAGAGGGAGTGCACACTTTTATTTAAGATCATCCTTTCTTTCTCCTCTTTCCAAGCCACAAACTGAACTGCAGAGAGTTTGGTGAGGGGCATTAAGAACTCTAATATGACCTCAAACCACTTTTATGCCTCTGAAAATGCTGTCCTGAAAAGCTCTTATTTCTGGCCTTCCAAGGGCAAACTGAAATGCTCAGCCCTCTCAGGGAGCTCTTGGTTCTCTCTCAGCAGTGCCAATCAGGTGCCATTCAAACCAACATTTTTTTGTACAGAGCAGTGGTCAGTGCTGCAGGACTAATTACTGCCTGTCACGCATGCTGGCCAGGTGCAGGGAGGAGGGAGGAGGCAGACAAAAAACCCTTGCTGCTGCAGGCTGATGAAATACCGAGGGCTCCTTGAATAAATTCTGAGGGCTCCTTGGATTTATTTAAAATTTCAATCCATGACCACACATGTACATGTGCGTGTACATCTAATGTAAAGATGAAAGTGAATGCAAAGGTGTTTTATGAAGCTTTTGTACTCTGCCTTACCTACATGTAATGTCTTCACACTCAGATAGATACTCAGTGGTTCTTAATTAACTGTGGTGGCTGGTACATTACAAAGGCTCCTGTTTGTCTTAAAATCCTGTGAGGTAAACACTGACCTTATAAGGGTGACATTAACATATAAAAATTTTTATTCCACTTAATTGTCAGCCTGAGGCATTATTATCTGCATAGCAAAAATGAGTTGAGTGGACCTGTCAGAAGAGGTAGTACAACTTGATTAGAAATACTGGTGCTGTTTATAGCCACTGTACTGTTCTTAGAGGGAAAAATATCTTCTTTTGAATATCGTGTTACTGTTAATACAGTTAATACAGAAAGAGGGCTTGTATAGGGGTGTTTCTTCATTTCCTTAATAGTTTGACACAACAAGGAAATCCCTTCTCATGGAGAGATCAAAGGAGTGAGTGTTTTGTGTGAAAGGATACAAAGTCTGGTAAATGTATGAATACTTTGTTGTGCTGTTGATAGTCTTGAGATGAGCTGTGACTGTCTCCTGGTGCTGGGGAAAGCAGGGCTGTAAATGAGGCTGATCTGTCAGGAGCTGTCAGCTCCATCAGGCCAGGAGAGGAGTCGGATGGGGATGGAGGAGAGCAGAACCCTGGTAATGTGGAGCGAGGCTGGATGGGCCAAGTGGGAAGAAGAATGAGCCCTAAGTGGTGCTTCTCTCTCTTCAGTATTCTCAAGGCACACAACATAATTTCAGTTGTATTAACTGTTGCAGAGTAATTAATTTGAATAGAGTGATGCAACCATGAAAGTGTTGTAATTAGAGTCTTCTTCAGTTGATTTGAAAAGGGCAAAAGCTTTGCCTTAGATTAAATGTGTATGTTCTCATAAATACTAAATTGTACAGTCTTTATTAGTTACTTAATGAGAGGGTAATGGTGGCTGAATCTTGAAATAACTCCTAGAGGACTCTGGGTTTCTGAGGTCCTGCAGCACAGACTGCACCTCTCTATGTTTTAGGGGATTTGTTCTCCCTTGGCAGATCTTTTCTCACTGCTTCTGGAGCATCAGTGGGAGTGATGATATTCTGAGTCAGAAAAAGCCATGGGTTCTCCTGGGTACAGGGGGATGCTTATGCCTGTAAAGGGAATATCCTCTTTCACACATTCCCCCTCCCCCAGCATTTAGCCAGTTTAAGCAGCAGTTGGCTGAGTGGTTCAGGATCAGCTACCCAGAAAGGAAGAAAGGAAGTTTTAACTGAGGGAAAGGTGCACGAGGAAGTTAGTGCAATCCAGTGCCCATGCTTATCTACAACACTCTGGCTGTGGCATGTGTAGGTAAATCTTCCGTAGAGATGGGCTGTGAGCAGGAGGTCAGCACATGTGTAGATGCAGCAAGAATAATATCTATCTCTTCATAGAGCTGTAAGGCTAAAATGTTTCTCAAAGATATTAGTCAGATATTGATCTTAATGGCTACTGTTGGCCAGAGAAAGGTGACAACAGAAAGGAAAAATTGCCTCCTGATGCATCGTGGAGGAGCTTCAGATCCCCACTGTGTTGTCTGCTTGTCCTAGAAGGAACTCCTTTAGAGCCTTCAGGCCATGGCTCCCTCCTGCCAACCCCACTTCCAGATAGGATCATTTCTGAAGGTCTCCTTTACAGTGTAAATACCTGTGAATACCTGAAACTGGAGCGGTACCAGCCCCTCAGTTCAGATGAACAGATGGTAATGCCTTTCAGCCACTTCAGGCCTGGGCAGACTCCAGCCAGTGACCTATTTTGCAGTCCTGGCGGTTTCCCTGAACATCGCGGTGTCTCCCGGGTAGACGCTGTCCCAGCTATGTAGGTTAAGCTGGATGCACCATTGCTGTTCCAGGCAGGCCCAGGCACTGACACTGCTCTCACATTCCAGCCACAGCCGCTGTGTTGTAACAGCTTCACAGCAGATGCTATTCACACTTCTCACTTGTTGGTGGCTCTCTGTGTAAGGGCGTTTGTCCTCCCAGTGTATCTAGGAATCCAAGGAACCTTCCTGTGCTTTCATGGTTGTTGCTGGTGTCTGCTCAGAAACATTTTACATTTTGCACTAATTAGCTTATAAAGGCATTTAAATGGCAATCAATAGATTACATCAATTCCCTTTTGGCTTTTAAAGGGCACTCATCCATATTGAAAAGGAAAAGAAAGAACCTCTCCTTAGATATTTATTAACACACAGTCTCAAATTAACAATGCTAAAATACCTCTTTTTCTTTTTTGAGCACTGATAGAGGCCTGTACGAAAAAGCAGTTTCAAATCACTAAACTACTGCTTTTAAGGGTGTATCTGTTAGAATTATCTTCTCATACATTCAATTAAAGTTTCAGCATATCTGAGCAGCTTATCAAATCAATATAACACCGTTTAATCTAAATTCAGCACTGAGCCTAAGTATAATACTACAGTCTAATAGGTTTCACCTCCAATGTACATATATTCAAAAGGCATGACCTTTACAACCAATTAGTAATTCTTGTATAAACTTGGCTGTATTTGAACTTCAGTAGAAGTAGAACAGGTTTGCAGACATTTAGAAATATAAATTACCCATGAATTTGTGGTGGCTTAATTGATAACAGATATGAGTGGTAAGAGGCTTCTGCAAAATAACTTGCCAAGTGTGTGTTTGATCATTGACAAACACAGCTGACCTGCTGGAACACTTCACTGAGAACATGAAATTTCAGAAGGTGCCCTCAAAATTTGTCTGATGTGATCAGGCTCTACAGGAAATAATGAGGCAGGTAACATGTAGCAAGATCTTCTTCCTTTTGTAGGAAATTGCAGGTGGCTCATATCACACCGTTACCAGTGTAGGTAATCACCATTAACTAGAACTAAGGAAAAAGAAGGTCTCAAAGGAATGTTGTTTTATTGCAGAAATTTTTATTTGTATATTTCTCAGCAATATTAGCACCAAAGCAGAAAATGAAAATTTATCTGAAAAAACAGTGAAAGAACAAATGAACACGTGGACTCCAAAATCCTTGGAAATTAAAAGAAAACATTCCTTAAACCCATCAAAAGGATTTTGAAATAACTTCTACTAAAAGCACTTGGGATAACTCAGCCCCCCCGTCCTGTTCAGCACTGCTGTGTGTCGGGCTGTGTGAGATGGGGCTGTGGTGGCATCAGTGGGTCCCTCCTGGCTCGTGCAGAGAGGACTCCCCATCCAGGTGCCTCCGGGACACTCAGGACGGACAAACTGTAGTGGACAAGGCCAGTGCTGTGCTAGAGCAGCCCAGCAGGAGCACAGCTCTGTCCCAGAGCTGTCAGGAGAGGGAGGAATTATGACCATAATTCATTTGGAAGCACTAGAGTGTTACACCCCAATATAAGCTAAAGAGCTCGTTGCTTTCCTCTGATGATAAGGTTGTGTGAAGATGAGACTGAAACAAATTCCACCAGCAAGCGGTTTAGGTAAGGAAAAGCCTTGGGTTATCCACCCATAGCTGCTGTGTGATTTTTATGCATTCTGTGCAATCAAACGATATTGAGATCATCATTAGAGCCTATTAAAAACGCCGTCGTGAACCCTGTGTGTGCTGTGCTAAGGATTTCATCTGTAGTTAAACTCTTTGATTTTTAATTTCAAAATTTATTTTGCTAGTGAAGATGAAGGACTTGTTTCTAGCACAGCACTCATACAAATGCTGTGCTTTTGTCTTTGGATAGAACTATGATTAGCAGTTTGAAGCTTTCTGTGTTCTTGACATCGAGCAAAACAACACAGTCATCATAACAAATTCCTGACAAAAATCTTGAAGTGTGATTGTATTTATGGGCTTTAAAGAAGAGAACATCACAGAAAAGTGATAGCTTCAAATAGGAGTTGTATAGATCTTTGATA